ACCCACTCTGCCTCTGCGCCACAGATGCCCCTATTGTTGAACATATAAAATGAAGAATGACCATCATGATTTCCTAAAGCCCAAGGTGACATCTTTAAATGTCTTATTTCATCTGTCTGTCTAGAATCAAATGAAACATCAGCTTCAGTGTCTGTGGTTGGTTTTTAAGGTGTATGTTACCCTATTTCTGCTTTAGCTTAGACAGCATTTCAAGGTGGACAACTGATCAAGATAAGTGACAAATGCTGGAGCCAAAACGTAGCACATTCTGTCTTTAAAAGGTCATTGCTTCTCCCTAACTTTGTCATTCACTGTAAGAAAAAGATGCTACATTTTATTCTCTCCAGGAACACACTCAAGGCAACATCACCAACAAAACAATACAAGTTATAACTGCTGCAGTGGGTCTCTGACTTCATATGTTACTATGTCCTTGAAGCTATTTTTTTCCTTTAACAACTGATAATTTATTCCTATTCCCCTTATAAACATACCACATGTTGAAGGTCCTAAACCTTTGTTTACATTGGCTCTATGATATTAGCCATTTCACTAACAGAATATCAATGCATACTAATCCCAACAACACCAGTGGATACACAGATATATCCTTTGATTGTTTTTATTCAGTGCCTTTTTATGAAGTTTCCTTTTTTACATTTGACATTTTTAAATACAATATAATCGGCATTGTTCTATGACCCCACTCACACGTGTTTGACTGTACAATCCTCCAAATCAGCCATCGGATATTCACAAGCAACGCTTTAACAGCCTTTTCTGACAGGAAGAAATACAGAGATAAAATAATATATGACAGAGAATTAGTAGTGTTTGAATTCACAGGTCTGTGGCCTGTTCTAAAAATGGGCTGCAACACGCGCTGGCTTTATCCAGTCCTCTGAAAACTTTAAAACGAGCTGTCTACTCAGCAGCAAGGCCGCCTCACGAAGGGTTTTCAATTTCACTTTTATGGAATTTGATTTCTGTCAGCCTGTAATATGTCACCCGTATTGTCCACACCATCAATTCTCCGACAGCTTTATAAACTGTTATTTAAGCTACACTCAGCTCTTGTATTAGGCTGTGAAAAATACAATAGAGATTGGACTGGAGTCTTGAAAGTGCACTAAGCTTACTGTTTGCAGGACACATCCAGCACCAAACAAAACTGTCTTAGTGAAAGTTGCTCACAAAAGGCATGTTTTGTCATGCTTACAGAGAAGGTTACATCCAGCAGCCAGAGGCAGATCCACACAGAGTAAGTTGCTTAAACCATTGATGTGATGTCATACAAATACTTTATAAATATTTCTAGTGTACTGGTGGGGTCATTGTTACTATTTTAACAGCAGTTTCATTAAAAGCTGTATGCGTGGATCAGCAGAACTAGGCCTGTTGTAGGACTGTGAACTATTGAGAAGCCAGAGGCTGGCAAGCCACCACCACAACCAATGTAATGGCACATCATCATGGCATTTTATGTATTTGTTTTTTAACACTGGAAAGCATCCCGGAGCAGCCAGGCTGAAGAGACTCATAGCAAAGCCACTGTCTAAAACACAGTGTTACTCAGTGAACCAGCAGTCTCGTAGTAGAAAACGCAGACTGGTCCGCTAATTACCCCCAGCTGTGGCCGCGACATGCCAGTGTTTGGATTTAATGAGTGACCCTGTTAACTGCCGATTTTACGTGTTTACATTTTATCCTGCTGTCCCCCTTACAAAGTAATTAGCAAAAACAAAGAAATGGAGATAAGACCGTATACCGCACTGTTGAGCCACTCTATTTCACCACAGGAAATTTCTTCACCGTGACAACCCTAAGTGGAAACAAAATTTGTGGTACAAACATTTGTAGTCTAATGTTATCTTACCAGTCAATCCATGGTCACACTGACAGATGTACTTTCACAGTAAACTACTTTGTGTTCTGTGACACTAAAAGACTAAAAGGACCAGTGTGTAAGATTTAGTGGCATCAGACTACAATTAACTGAACACTGCTGGTGTCTGCATTTGATGACCTGGGAATGAGAACAGGCTGTGTAAGAGAAACTACGGTGGCTGTGAAACTTGTAAAAAACAGGCAATCTATCTATAGCCAGTGTTTAGTTTGTCCATTCTATGCTACTGTAGAAACATGGCAGTTAAACGGGGCGGACTCCATCGAAGATAACCTGCAGCGTCTGTGGAGGACTGTCCACAGGTCTGTCTGTCCCAGAGAAGCAGCAGAAACAGGATAGATGTGTGTTATGGGGAATGCATATGAGGAGTCAAAGCTAGAGGACCCTCTCATACTCTCACATACAGTATTTAGGCGAGTCATAGTTTGTCCAGTAAATTACAGCAACATTGAACAAGGAGTCGAGTCAGGTAACATTGTCATTTCAAAGATATCTAAAGTGTGTCTATTATTAGAGGTAGTTTAAAACAGCATAGGGTCTCCTTTCTGTGTTCAAGCAGCCATAGGCCAAACCAATAACCAGTTCCCTGGCAGTGTTCATCACTTCAGATATGCTACAATAGTCAGTGAGAGTCAGAGACTATGAGATTTAAACATAACATCCTGTCAGCGTTTGAGCCCCACAATAATGTGTGCGTATAGTTTTGTTGACATATTGCCTTTTGTTTTCTTTTAGATTACTTCATGACCTTAAACAATTGACTGAGTGCTTTCATTTTTACACCATGAACGACCTACGAGCCACTGTGGTTTTCAAAATAAATGAAAAGGAAATTCAATCTTATGTTTTCTCCACTGTACCAAAATCATACTGAACAGTGACCCCACAACTGCACTGATCCGTAAATTCTGTGTACTGTTACACACCTGGTATCAAGAGAGTTGGTGGTAAAATGTGTCAAGTATAATTTATGCTCTTTGATACGGTAGGGGTTTGCCGTCTTAATACACTTATCCCATCAAGGCAGAAACAGCGAATCTGACATTATATCAGTAACCTTTGTTTTGGTTTATCCACTGAGAATCTAATAAAAAGGAGATCAATTCAAAGAGGTTTTCTGTTTTCTATACAGATAACCTGATGAAAATAACTTGATCAAACAGCCCGTTTCTGATAGGAATGCTCTCATTTCACCGTTGATTAAACAAAAATGTAAATTTAAACTAGTTGACTAGTCTGTAAGTAATTAAAGAAAGTATGTACACAAACCGCACACTCACAACCAGGCTTCACAAGTTAGTTAGTTACCTCAGTATATATATATATATATATATATATATATGTTACGCACATTTGACGCGGGGGCAGTTTGTTATATTATCGGTATTTACTTGTTAGTAAACATGTTGGAATACCACTGAAATTGGCAACATATGGACACTAACGTTCTGCTGAATAACTGATTATGAAGAAAATGAAGACCAGCACGGACCAGGTAAAGCAACAGTGAATAGCAGTGAACGCATCAGCTGGTGCCACGTTGGTTTCGATCGTTTTGCTCGGCTACTTCATTAATAACTAGCCTCGCCTACACACTCCTCACCTGCTGTTGTTAAAACTGCATCGTACGTGAAAAAAATCGCAAACGCAAGTTGTGTTTTTTGGTTAAAGAGAGCCAACAGAGACACATACATATAGTGACAGAAACAAGAGAGAGAAAGACAGACCAGAGCAGGTGTTGTGTGGAAAAGAGTAGCTGAACTTAAAAGCATGGTGAGCCGGTTAAAGATGAGCAGAGAGTGAAACTGACTGCTTAGAAATCCCAAAAGCAGACGCGTAAACCAAATTGATAATCGACTATAATTTCAGAAGTGGGACAAGATGACGCCAGCGGTGGCATTTAGTGCAGTGAACGAGGGCCTTGCTTTTAACCAAGCCTTGAGCAATGATCACTTATTTAACGACTAATCACGAACAGTCCATCAGTTTTCTGAAGTGGTTTTTCTTTAAAAACCATATTTTTTGGGGCTTGTTTATTTCGCCTATTAAGTTGGTGATAGCTGAAGGGTGGCAAGTGTGTCTCAAACCTTTTACACCACCAGCCACCTCAGAATATATTAGACTGGGGCACCTGCTCACCTGGTAGAGCTGCCACCCCATTTACCAAGGCTGAGTCCTTGCTGCACCTTGTTCCACTATTGTCCACTATTAAAGGCAATAAAAAAAGATATTTAAAAAAAGAAAATATTGTATGTTATTGTATTGCTGACTGATCTAAATGGAAGTGGTTCAAGAAACAGAGCTCATTTGGTGGAAAGGGGTACTCCTGGCCCACACTTTTCTTCCTGAAACAATGACACATAGTATTTCAATAGTAGGGTTATTATATGTTTTAAAATGTATTTATATAATAAAAAATATTTGAGAGATTCCACTACAGGCAGCTCATGTATTGTACTATCGTTTGAGAACCAGTGAAATGAGTTATAAGAAAGATAGATATTAACTGTATACTGTATACTGTATATGTACTGTAATTTCCTTGAGGCGATTGTGACACATACAATACTTCCTCTGAACTCACTGGCTAACTTGCTGACTCCTGGGGGGTTTCCTTACCTCCCTGAGAGGGCCTGTCTTCTTATCTGGCACCATCTCCTGTCTGGAAGCACCACACCACCCTTATATTATCATGCTCCACCTGCATGACAGCCAAGCACCACTGAGTGCACAGGAGAGGAGAGGAGAAGGCAGATGCCCTTACACTGATAAAGACCACAGTGTTTACTTGTGGGTTTTGATTTAGTAGCGGGAAGAGCTCAAGACCTTTAGATAACTATATTGTGACAATCGCTATAGTTAGATTAATGGCTTAAAAGACGTTCTCATTTTACTGCACATTTTGCAGTTGAGAATGACATTTGCACAATTTAAAGGGCGGCTGAGGAAAATAAACAAGACAAGAATAAGCTTTTTTATTTTGTGTAGCAATAAATGAGGAATTTGAGAATTTGCAAGAAGGTGGTGAATCTACGATGCTTCTGCAATAAAATAGAAAGATAGAACTGATAAAAATAAGCGTAACATTTTGCTATAAACAAATGCACATTATGACTCTCTCTATTGTAAACTGATGTGACACAACAACTCAACTTGTCGATGATATCTATAAACAAACAACACTGCATCAGGCACAGCACTGTAACCAGCACGAGGCTCTACAAGAGCGATACAACTAAAAATGTTAAAGTTAAATAATATTTTCTTTATTGATATCATTTTCTAAAAAGATGTTTCACCAGATGTTATGATGAAGAAACGAGCACCACCTTCAGCAACCAACTCAATAAAAGGAAAGTCAATGAGAAATGACGCCACAGCCCGGCATGGTTTGACTGACAAGAGCTCTGTGGACAGTGCAGAAAGACCGCAGCGGTAAGTGCTTCGCAGCAAATATGGAGACAAAATCCGAATTGAGTAACTCAAGGATAATCACTTCAGTTGGAGATGCTAAAATTGGAGTATAGCCCATTAAACTGTGGAGGTTTAGGACAGGTAAAGGAGACAGAGGAGACACAGGAGAAAAGCCTTTCTTTTTATCAGTGGACGTGTGATAATTATTCTAAATCAGATAATAAAAAAACTATATCATTGCTTCTTTTGTCTCTAAAGAAATATTCCATCACTTTTTGTGTGATTATAACAATGAATTTCTTATTACAAATTGTGTAAATCTGTGTGAATCAGCTCTTCATGCAAATACAAAGAAAGTGGCCCCCTGAATTTGAATAACCGCGTAGCACGTAGCCCTCTCAACCTGACAACTTCACTGAAAATATCATAAATCACGAAGGAGGATGGCTAAATTATGCTAAAGAGTGCTAACTGATTAGCATTAATGTGCTCACTTTCTCCTTCGAGCGCTGGAGCATAGCGGTTTGTTCCTCTGCCGACAGACAATACCATTAACCTTTGCAATTTAGGCTCTGCTGTGTGCTGGGAGGTTAGCGGAGGCAATGACCCCAAAACTAGATGTTGCTATTGGGGGAACGTAGGGGGGATTGGAGAGGGGAGAGCAGGGGTGGACAAATGTTCTTCATAAAAAACAAACAACCTCATCTGAGATCACTTCTGAGAGTTATAGATCTAATTTGCTTCCTGCACAAGCTCATCTCATTTGACACAATAGAGATACATTTAAGCATAAATCAGAGTGAATATATAGATGGGTGATTGAGGGAAGAAGTGTGTGTGCTGGTGGGATGTTAGGTACTGTCTCCCCGATGTGTCCTACGTTACAGCGTAAGTGCCGACATTAAAGCAGACACTCTCATCCGTCTCTAAGGAAAACAAAGAAATAAAAGTTTATATAAATCACTAGCAGAAGCAAAGAAAATGAACTTCTAATGTCCACAAGGTTACCTACACATGCATCAGAGGCACCCGCTTATGTTACATCACTGTCATATCAAAGTGACGCTTCCTCACATTTTTTTGTTTTTAATAAATTGCTCTTCTATTTTGGATTTCAAAAATGGGGCATCATAAACTTTTCATCACATTACTTTTATCTTTTCACAGTTTTATTCTGTAAGTCGTTTATTTCCTGTACCAGGACACATGCCTTTCATGCCTGAAATTATTAGTCATCAGAAAATGTATCGATTTTGATTATCAATCGTTTAAAAGTAAAAGATGAATTTATAATAACTGTTACTTGCATCCCAAACTGTGTTTAAATAGTCTTTTTTAGACATGTTTGCCTTCATTTGATCATTGACAGCAGAGACCAACGGGAAACATGGGGAGAGAGTGAGGGGGTTGACATGCAACAAACTCGGACGCCAATCATTTTAATGTAAAAGTTTTGTAACGTCACTTGAGTGTATGGCTAGAAGTGTTGAAATGGTGAGAGTTAACGGGTATGCAGCATTAACAAGAAGTATTTGGATAAACTGTGAATAGACTATAACAGTTTCATACTTACACTGATAAGCTACCAGGTACAACAACAACTGTGTACTGTATGGAGAGCAGTTGTTGTTAAGGTCCAGATATTCAATCAATGAAGCGGCATCTTCAGGTAACAAGCCTGCTACTCTAACTTAACAGAGGTGGATGAATACTCAAATTGATTTTTTTCTTTTCAGAAAATGTTACTAAACTCATTCCACCCTTCTAAAAATTCTACTTTCAACTCATCCAGCTGTGCGTTCACTGACCGACAGGGGTTTCATATTATTGTGAGTTACGTGATGAGCTAATAGACAGTAAGCTTGGTTCCTGCTGAGGTGATTTCGTAGCCAAGCAGCTTATCTCATGTTCCTGTGGCATGAAGCAGCTAAGATGTAAAGTTCCCCCTCCAACATACACATAATACACACACACACACCAATCCATCTCTTCCTGTATGCCCAATATGTCTCTTTTAACACAAAAAAGACAGGCTTTCTTGTGACTGGCTGAATCCTAAACCTTTCAGTGTAAGAGTTATAATCAGTATACATATTATAATGTACCACCTCTCTGCGACAGGACTTGTGATATTAAACACAAAGGCATTACCAAAATTCACTGTTGTACATATATTACTTCATACGGCAAGGAATATTTTAGCAAGCATGTCCCAGTGCTGGCTGGTATGGGTAGTAATCAAACTATCATTATGATGGGAGGGTCTTTACTGAGAACAGCTATGGAAAAAGCAGGGTGGAAAAGTTGCAGAAATTCTGTATTCACTTTCTGTACATGTTTAGTTTTCATGTTAATACTGAGTTATATTTTTGTAAACTACTTTTTCTTTTAAATGTAGTACTGTAAGCTGGTTTCAGTGATTTATTGTCCCATAATCATGAACAACAATAGTTATTCTGAATTCTCTCTAGAAATTACATAAATGAAATATATTATTCAGTCAGGTTATAGATACAAAATGCAATATACTGACCTTGAAAAACCCAGAACAGTTTAGCCCCACATGAAGTTTGTGGTGATATCAACAATTTCAACAACATACTTTAAACAAACAAACTTGTTGAGAGGAGCGGGGTGTTAACATGTACAGTACTGAAGTGAAATACCTTTTATGAGCCTTTAAAAAGGCCTCAAAGAGGAGCACAGCAGAACAGTTGTTGTCAGTCACCTGGTATTGCTGGTAGTTGTATAGGTTGCCGTAGTAGGTGGAGTAGCGTGAAGGCTGGTAGAAGTTGTAATAGGAGGTTTCCAGCAGCAGGTCAGACGGTCCCTCAGCATGAGCCCGGGCACCGGCCGACGGGCTGGAGGATGGCGTCGAGCGACTCCCTGGTCAAACATTCACAGCGGACACAACACACAAGACAAAGACCGGTTCAGAGGCTAAAGTGTGATGTTTGTGGCAGGATTTCAGTATTTTCAGATCATTATTAGATTTGAAATATGGTTCTATGGATTTATGCATTTATGTACAAGTTTAAGTTGTTTTTTAACCTGGATTAATAAATCAATTTGTAAAACCAACCATTTTTTTATGAATTATGCAGCCAAGCTGACTTTTAGGTTTTTATTTCCTCAGCAGAGTCTCTACTGACACTGAAACGGATGAATGAACAATGAAAACAATCGTCAATGAGATGTATTCAAGTTATACAGATCTAGGCTGGCAGTAGATCTTTTGATCGATCATTTAACAGGAAAAGCAGACATAATACTTGAACTTTACAAGCTCTTTCTGGTCATTCCACCCTTCACTCAAATCGCTATCAACAGCACCATCTGCAGGTGACAAGTGTTTCTGACATCAAATGAACAGACCTACCCCAACACAGCATCACAACACAGAACGTTGGGATATCAGGATGAATATGACCATCAAATCATCATTACTCATTATCCGTTGTTCTTTCCTTATCAACAAGGCCACATTCTTCTCAGGCAGACCCTGAGCTTTTGGCCTTACACAATGAAGACACTGTGCACCACTGCAGCCCAAGATAATGACATTTGTTGACAGAGTGCACAACTCCTTTTTCCACCTCAGTCTTTCCTCTCTGTAGCCAAGCCGCAAAGTTCACTTTCACATAAACACATCAGAGCAAGACATGAGCAGCCTTGACCACAGTCATATTACAACTCCTAAAACTCACTATCAGGCTGACAAGGAACACGGTATCTGTGTCTGCCTCCACACCACCGCCAAGAGATCAAGGATCCCCTTTCATGCTGCTGCCACCAAATATACATTCATTTCCATTTATTTTCCAATGAAAGTGTCTTTTACTGATGGTTTAATAGTGCGTATAAAAGTATTCTCATCCTGTGGACATTTTCATGTTTTATTCTTTTACTATGTTAATTACCAGTGGATTAAATTGAGTCGATCTGAGCCTGATCGACAGAGAAAGAAATGAATTCTTTCATATCAAAGTGATTTTTAAATAGAAATATACACAAAATAACAGAGAGAACAGAATTCAGCTTTAGTATACAGTCATTTAAATTAAACAATACTCTGAATTTCTTCTCAAAGTTTGTCCATAAGTCTAAAGCCTAAACATAATTATTTCATTATCACATAAGATAAGGGAAATCATCACCGCTAAGATGTTAGAACTATTATGTTATATTATACTGTTATGTTGTGTGTGTATCAAAACCAACCCTTAAACAAATTATGGAGACCACTGACTAAGGACTAAGGCCTATATATATATATATATCTATATATATATATATAGATATATATATATGAGCTGTGACCTTTGCATGTTTGCAATCATGGCCATACCCATTGTACTTTATTTATTAAGATTCTGGCATCACCAAAATCATTTTTCCATACTTTGCGGAGCTGGTATTCAGAAACAGTGACTCACATGTATGGCTGCATAATCAGCTGCTACATTAGTGTAAAACATGAGGAGGTGGTGAGACAGCGTGGCAGGACCGTAAGTGGCAATATGTCACCTGTGACAGGAAGAGAAGAAGTGGAGGTACTGGTAGGAGTTGGGGATTGACCCTCCACAGAGAACAAGCAGTCTGCTCCGGCTTCATTCTTCACCATCACCTCAGGGCCGGACAAAGCCACCGGACTACAAATCCCAAGCTCCTCCTCCTGAGCCTGCTGCCGTCTCAGGGCGACCTGGAGAGGGGAGAGGAAATAAAACACTTAGCTAAAAAATAATAATAATATAATAATTAGTCGTCTGTTTAGTCTAATGTTTGTCTTTAGCCACTTTATTTTATACTTTCTTAAATGTGTTTTAATTCAGTCCACACACAACAGGTCATGTTATTTCTGTGTCTACACTGCAGATTAAAATGTATTCATTATCAATGTGAAAACAAAATTATATATTGAAGTTAATACTTACGGTAACAAAATGCTCAGTCCCCCTACAGATAGTTTCTATTTGTAACATTTCAAACCCCTTAATTAGTTGAGATTCAACTAATATTACCATTATTGTTTGGTTAGGTTCAGGCACAAAAATAATACTCTAAACTCTTTGTAGACGGGACTATCCAGATAAAGTGTTACCATACTTATTTGAAGCCATACCAACACCATTCATAAATGAACAAGCTCTACTTTACTTGTATTACCAATGACCCCATTATTGTAACTTATGTACCGTTAAAGTTAGGTCTAGAGCTGAAACCGTTCATCAATTACTTCATACGTCGATTAAGTTATCGATTAAACATGTTTTAAACCATCAACATAAGATACCAGCTTCTTAAACTTGATGTACGGCTTTCATCTGTCTCACCTCATTGTTGATTCAGTGTCATTGGGGTTTGAACATCTTCATCATTATTAATCAGTTAATAAAGAAAAAAAAGTGTTTTTAGTTTGTTTTGTGGCTGATGTAAGTGGGCTGCTGTCAAATCTCTATCTATCTATCTATCGTTATCTATCTATTTGCTTGATAATAGTTTTAAAATGTAGTGTTAACGTTACTTAATCTCAAAAACATACAGTAATTATCAATGAGCCTTTCTCAAAAAATCTATAAAATGTTCCTTCAGGCTACAAAGTACAATGTTACAAAGTAAAGACCACAGAATATGTTAATAAACTCTATATACTGTAGCCTATCTGCAGGACTATTTAATTTATACAAGACAAGACAACAAGCATGCTGTCAGCAACAAGTGTAGCAATTAGCTAGCTAGCATGTTAGTACACAAATTAAAATAAAAAAACAACCAAAGTAAACTTGTCCACAGCGGTTAAAAAGTATACAAACATAATCCAAAAATATTTATCTAAACAATTCCACGTTGCATTTCCCGTCCCACCCTCAGAAACACTTTATTTTCAGCGTTAAACTGGTTTTAGCAGAAGCATTATTTTCCGCTCAAGCTAGCCGCGCTCAGCACTGAAGTAACGGTTGACGGTCGACGGTTGACGGTTAACGGTCGACGGTTGACGGTTACCTGGGCCGCCATGACTCTCTGCCTCTCAGCTATCAGTTTACATTTGGGACACTGGCAGTCCCTCCAGTTGCAGAAGCGCTTGTGTCCCTTCAGAGGAGACACATAGCCGTGGTTCCTACAGCGGGAGCACTTGGGCATCCTGGGGGGTTTCTGGCCTTTGGACGGGGACAGAGGTCCGGTGGACTCCGGTACCTGCTTGCTCTGCTTGTCCTTGCTCATGGCTGCTGGAAATAAAACAGCAGCAACAAGACCCGGTGCACTAACTGGTAGACGACAGCGGGCAGACTTTAGCTACTATGTTAGAGTTTGTCCCAGCAGGTTTGGCTGGTTAAAGCTCGCAGTGGTGCCAGGCTGGAGGCTATAAGGTCACCGTCCTTCCCCGCCCTGCTGCTGCTGCTGCTGCTGTGACTTGTGGGAGGAAGCGGGGGAGAGAACTGGCAGAGCAGTGGCATGCACCCACTCTCAGTTACACTTAGTATTGGCCTCAAAAATATAGTGTAAATATTAAAAATAAAAGTTCTCATCATGCACAATGGCTCATTTCAGATGTTATATTAATGCATTAATATGTGCATCACTTTAATGTTGAGGTTGGAGCTCATTTGAACTACTTTATCTATTGGGTAGCTTGTGAATTTATCTTCTGGGATCAATAAAGTCTTATCTTAATCTATAATATTACATCCTAATTTATAGTCTGTGTTGTTAATCTGAATCAGCAAAGTAACTAAAGTAAACATTGTAAAGTAAAAAGTACAATATTATAAACATGAACATGAACATAGAGATTCATCTCTTGGGAGATCTGAATTCTCAATCTGAAACCTTGCAGACTTTTTCTGGTTAAAACAAAAAGTCTCTTTAGCTCAAGATTTGAGATCAATCCTGACATCTGCACACACCACATTCACTATTTGTAGAGACCTTACCTAAGCAAGTCTGTGCATCAGCTGGGTTATGTTTATGTTTATTTCATTTAAGAAGAGACAATGCTGATTTCGCCGGCTAATTTTCATCTGCAGTCCCTGGCAGGTTGACGGCATATAAAAAACATCAAAAGAAAGCGTACAAGAGCACATAAGCAAAGGCAAATAATAAAAACAATCACATATCCACTACCACAGACTGTGGCAGCATGTCTGATTGTTCAGTAACCACTGTTTTATACATTTGGAGAAGGAGTTGAGAGTTGTGATGTTCCAGGTTTGTTCTGCTCGACAGAAAAAGGTTGACTGCCCTGAGGTACTTTTTCTACATGTTTTTTTTACAGGTAGTAGCTCTAGATGATTTAGATTTTATCACAAACAATATTTACAAATTTACAAATCTGGCAGACTGACATCCAACCATCCAGTGTTAAATGGCCTAACAGGAGTTAAAATGGTTGTAAACAACTTGCAAGTTTGACAAATGCTGAATAGGATGCTTGTAAATCTTTACAGATCCCATTAAATCTCACAGGATTTCTACGAGAGTTTATACAGCTAAATTACATTTGAGCTAACAAAGCCAAATTGAATTGTATCCAAAGCTGAAAACACAATAACCTATGTGTGCAGCTGCTGGGATACATTCCTGTCTAAATTATTTGGCGAAGAAATAATTTAATTTAATTTGTTTGACTGTAACTGATGCTGTTTAGTTCCCCCAGTTAAATATCACTATGCCTCTGTACAGCAGCTTGTATTGTGTCTATTGTCCTCCATTTACAATAGCTTTTGGTATAACTGTGACACTCCCACTGGACTTGTGGTTAGGCTGTAATAACGGAGTAGCATCTTACTAAAATATATTTACTGTAGCTCTTTTTTTTTTCCCATGACGGCTTATGTGCTACGTGGTTAATACTCTCTTATTAATTTAAAGGCTTGACAGAGCTGAAACTGAATTAACCTCCACACTGGTCAGTCAGTCAGCCAAGTAGATTTATAGGCAGGGAGTGAAGTGAGGTGAAACACACAGGCACCCAATTAAAATCCCAATGCAGCCAAATGGAGGAGGGATGAAAAGTTACCAATTAAAAAGCAGGCATTTACACGGCGCTGAATCACCCGCTCCAGATAAATAACTGCTACACTTCACTGGCTGACGTCCTTGTGCTGTACGGTAACTGAAAGCAGGGTTACAACACTGAGTTTAATTGCCTCTACAGCATATGGTAATAATGATAGATTATAATACTGTAATAAAGTATGTGATTTAAAACATTTAACCTTTCTATTAGTATAACTGCTCTGTGGGTCAGGGCTGTAGTGTGAAGCAGCAGCGAGGTCATTGTTCCAGATGAAAAGATGAGGTTGTTCATCCAGCAACAGCTGATATTTACTGGTGTGAAGGAAAATATGGAAACAGAAAACGTGCACTACAAATTGTAGCATTTCCTACATGCACACTGTTCTGTGTCAGGCAAACAAGTAACTTTTTCATGCAGTACTGACTCACACCACCCAGGGGAGCCACTGAGTTAGGAACAATGACATGGGTAGAGGAGGGCTAAAGGTTATGGCCAGGCTGGTGGATCAATTTTACTGTGACAGATGAAAGGCTTGTGGAGGTGATTATGTTGCCTGTTTTGGCAGTATATATTTTAATATACCTTTAATACAAGCGACCAAGAACAGAAGTTACAAACAAGCCTTTAAACTGTAGCCTATGAAACGTTTGTCTGTTTGTGTGTTTGCATTATTTACAAGATATTTGATATTTTGTATTTAATAAGGAAAGGAAAAAATAATTTATCAGGCAATTGTCAAATGGCCACATTAATGGCTGTATCAGATTTAGGGATATTAAATTAACCTGAGCACACGAATCCCTCAAAAATATGATCTAAAACACCAACCAAAGAATTTATAGTTTAAATACTATAACTGTAATACATATTTGGGCCAATATTTGTTAAGACAGATAAAAGTATCAGTGCCAATCTGAACCGGAACCATGTGAAGACTTAAATGTACGGAGGAGTCCCTGAAGGCAGCATTGCCTAGCAACAACGTAACGTTAGTTTAGTTCCCCCACAGACTCTCAGCGTAAAGTTTTGGTCAACTTTTCTCTCACACAATGCCGAAAAAGAAGGATAAGAAAAGCGGCGACGCACAAGATGAAGACAAGAAAACACAGAAAAAGGACCGTACCGCAACTCCTGCGGATAAACCCGCTCCTGACGACAAAGAGAAGGATTTATACTTGATTCAAATACGATATTTGAACGAGCAGCTGGAGAGGTGAGGCTGTTTTACTGTCCGTTCAGAGTCATGAGTCAGGTTAACTTATTTTAATGGGAATAATGTGATTGTATGTTTGTTTGTGCCAGTAAATGCTTTGCACATTGTATTTTGTAACATTGTTTGCGTTTTTTCTTAAACTTTGATTGTTTTTAATGACCTCGGCGCAACTTATAAACGTTATTTCCGTCATTGTTGTTACTTTGAAATGAGCTTCTTTATAAAAGTGAAGACACCAGTGTTGTAGACTTCCCAGTTTTAAGATATTTGTACTTTAACTTACTTGAGTTTTCATTTAATGCTGCTTTATACTTCTACTCCTCTACTATATAATATATATCTATAGTTTCTAATGACTTTTTTTAATGAAAATTAAAAAACAAACATGCTAAATTTATATAATACAAAGCATAGGTATGAATTAAAGTTATAAAATGATATAACACATATTAATAACACTCACAGGGGCCATGTTTCTGCATTATGAGTACTTTTACCGAGTATTCATCCATTTTTACTAAAGTAAAGACTGAATACTTTCACCACTGCACATAACTGAATTGAATCCATAATGTTTCAAAGCCTAGGATGAGACAAATCACCTGGCCCCCATTTCTTTAGCGACCCACCCCAAATCAGAATGATCACAATCTTGAAGTGAGACACATCACCATACGTATATGCACAACAAGATTCATTTTGTCCTTAACCCCTGCACGATTCTCTTCCTCCTCTTCCTCTTCCAGATATCAGCTGAAATGTGATCAACTAGAGAGGCAGAAGAAGGACTTAAACTCTCAGTGCAGCACACTCGAGAAGGAAAAGAAGGACATTGTTGAGTATCTGAAACGCTCGCTGCTGGAAAAGGAGGACGAGGTGGATGAGCTGACAGAGCGCCTGGAGAGTCGGCAGCGAGCTGCTGATAAGGACAGAGATCTCCTCCAGCTGCAGCACGCTCAGCTGAGGCAAGAGCTTCAACAGCAGATTGAAGAACTCACTGCAGAAAACACCACGCTGGGTGAGACTGTTTATCCCCGTGGGTTAAACCAGTTCAGTGCTTACTGCGGCGTGTTGAAGGTGCCATGAAATGGTTCTCTGTGGTTTTTCCACAAAAATGAGACATAAATAATCATTATCTAAGGAAATGTAAAGAATTCTTTTACCTGTCCGTGGCTAAGACCTCAGTGAGTGGAACCACTGATGTTTAACTCTCTCCTCTCCTCTCCTCTCCTCCAAGCCACAAGGCTTGCTGGTCTGGAGGAGTTTCAGAAGCAGAAGGAGCAGCTGATGTCCAACATGGAGTCTCTGGAGAAGCAGCTGGCTGGTCAGAAAGAGGAACACAAAGCTGAAATCCACAGTCTGGAGATGAAGGCACTGCTGGAAAAGAAGAGGTTGAGACTGCTGATTCACTGACAGCATTACATTTGCAATTGTACTCTACAATTGTAGCCTATCCTACTACTGAAGAAATGAAATAATTACAAATATGGCACAAAAGTCTGATTCCAGGCATTTTTTTGAATGAAGGGTAAAAAGCTAAGTCACATGAAACAAATAAAATAAGCCAATGTCTAACAATCTTCTAAATGATTTACTCTCTCACTCTCCGTACTCCTGTTCCCTGTCCAAAGGTTGGAAAAGGAGATGGAGAGCCACGTGGCGGCCATGGCGGCAGAAGTGCAGCACCTGGTGGACCAGAAGGTCCCGGAGACGACCAGGTTGGCCCTTCAGGAGAACACAGAGGTCAAGGCTCTGTTCAGCCAGCTGTCGGAGCAGGCGCAGGTCCTGGTGGTGGAGAACTCTGCCCTGCGGGGCCGGAAGTGTAAGCTCAGTGTTGATGTGGACATCCTGGAGCAAATGCTCAGCGAGACATCCCGCCAGAGCTGTATCCGCAAGAGGGTAAGAGAAAGACCTCCTGGATGATAGAGCTTTACACATACATTACCTATCTATTTATTGTAGGGGCCCAATGGAGGATTGGATCCAGCAGGTGTTGCAGTTTTAGATTAGAGATAAATATCTTGATGTCATTTCACTCCAGTCGCACAGAACTACATTTTTTGTGAGGACAGATCAGAATCTTATTCAGTGAAAACCTTTGACATCTTCCGTCCATCAGGTGGTGGAGCAGCTTACAGAGAAGTGTCAGCAGCTGCGGGCGGAGCTGAATGACTGTAGGAGAGAACTGGAGCCGCTTCAGACCGAACACACAGGGGTCCTGGCCGAGATGGAGGCTCTCAGGTCAAAGTTTACTCTGTCCACGTTCACATTCATTTCAGTGTTAAAAGCTATTAACAAGACTATCTCAAAATGAAAATACACAAAGTTTCCGGAAAAAACAAAACAAACAAATAAAACAAAGAAGGAAAAAAGAAATACATTTTTTTTTATCTTAAACTGACAGATACAAACTAAAATCAATAGTTTACAAGCTGTCTACAAGCTAATTGACTCGTGAGTAATTAAAAATACCAATTAATTAGACTTTGTTGCACACACATACACTTCAAACAACAAACAAATGCCTAGAACATACAGTAACACTGAAGCATGCGCTTAACTAATTGGTCTTAATTGATCTGACTGCAGCTCTGACCATTAAAATGTCCAGCAGGAAACTGAAACATAACCAAAATATATACAGTAACTTTAACTTTTTTTTTTTACTTCATAAATTATGTAACTAAATAAAAATCAAATAAAAAATACAAAATGACAGCAGATGAACTGAGAGACCTTCTGATGTACAGTCAGATACACCCTGAACGCAGCGTCACTGTCAGTGTTGTGTTTCCAGGCAGGACCGGGTCTCTCTGTCTGAGCAGTGCAGTAAAAACAGAGCCGAGGTGAGTCGGCTGGAGGCGGAACTACGGGAGGAGAGAAAGAGGAAGAACCGGATGAAGAGCATCATGAATGACGCAGCCATCACTCTCAGACAAGCCCTAATGGTAAAACAGAAAGTCCTGATGCTTTGTTAATCTTATATTATTGAGGAGTCTGATGACAGTGCATCATAGTGCCGTTAATAACTGTGAAGTTACCGCTTGCAGATTGAAATTAAATTATGCTCTAGCAAGTGTAAGGTTCACACCGACGTTAATTAAGTAGGCGAATGATGCACTGAACAATATAAGCAATTAGCAACATTACAGAGTAACATGAAAACCACCCACTGATTTTTGTCTCAACCAATGAGATTGTTTCAGTCTCTTAGAAATGTTTTCAGCCCTGATGCTGGCTCTGCTCCCTGCAGGAGGCAGCGACGGAGCAGGACTCGGAGGTGGACGTCCAGTGGAAGCCGCTGATGCAGAGGCTGCTGGTGGCCTTGGACAGGCCCACACTCACTAACTCAACCACAGAGAGCGACCGGCTGAATGAGCTGCAGACCTATGACGCTGCAGCTGCCAGGTTATAAAATCTCTCTCTCACTGGATAATGTCTCTTTGTTGTTTTTAACGTCTGAGTGGCTCTTTGTGAATCACATTGTAAGACTATAACATCCATCAACTACTTGTAGAATAATCTATGGCTTTAATATGCTTGATGGCATGTTTAAGTGTGTTTCTTTTGGATACATTTTGATGAGCCAATCACAACAAATAAATAAAACTTTTTCATTCACTGAGCTCTGCTGTTTTGTCAACACCATCCGTTCCTGTGTCTTTACAGAGCAGGGACCCTGAATCCAGCTTTGAGTCTCCAGTTTGCGCTGCCCTGCAACAGGCCAGGCGATCTCGGCCTTGCATCCCGTGCCACACTGAAACACAAACACATGCTCTCCAGGACTGGAGCTGGGTGCAGCAGCACCCATGTGCCTCTGCACAGGTTTGTTTTGGATCTTGGAATTCACCTACTGGATCTGTAGGAAGTCCTGCTTCACATGCTTTAATGTAACTCTACTAACGTATTGTACTTCTGTTGTTGTTTTCCATCCCGCAGGAAATCCTCCAGTCAGAAAACAGCCGGCTCCATTAACCCGACTGATTCCACTGTCAAACATTTCAACTCCAGAAACTCCTTCACCAAACTCAAATAACACAAACAAAACTCATATACTGTTAAGAGAAAAACCTTCAGATAGAGAGAAGATCCAATCTCTTCATAACTCCATTTACCTTCTGTCCTTTGCAAAGCACTCAAATTATATTTATTTTGTGCTATAAAAGTCTTATTGAAGATACAAATAGCGATAAATAAAAAATTAGTATATAAATAAGTATAAAAGAGTCATTGAGGAGTCAATAAACTCAATTTGTCTGTTATAATACTAAATCTGTGTAAAGTTTGATGACATTTAGTAACCTTAGCCACCAGAGGCTATTGGTCATACCATGTAGCAGAAAAACCCGTGAGTGTTCAATTGTTTCAAGACTTCATTAATCAAAGAATGACTGTGCCATTTCTTTATTCAAAAAGTCACATTGTCTCCCTTAAAGACAGTGGTGGAAGAAGTACTCAGGTCATTTAGTAGCAAGTGTAGACATACTCTGTTACAAGTCCTGCAATCAAAATAGTACAAAAGTATTAGCATCAAGTTATACTTAAAGTACCTAAAGTATGCATTATGCAGAACGGCCATTTCAGAATTTATATTACATTAATGGATTAGTGATGCATCATGTGTATGTGTGTAAATGTCACTTAAATGTTGACACTGGTAAAAGTGGAGCTTATTTTAGCTACTTAATATACTGCTGGATAGTTTGTGGATTTTCACTGGGGATCCAAAAAATCTATAATACATCATAATTTACTTGTTGATTATATTTTATATTAACATGAATCTGCAAAAAAAGTTGTGCAAAACCATTGACTTTTAAATTTTTAAATAAAAGTATGCCATCCAATAATTTGTAAGAGTTTTCTTCAGGTAGTAAAAGTGTAAGTAAACTTTGAGTATTATGTAAGGTTGTAACTGGTTCTTTTGGGACATGTTGAGACATGTTATGTCTCTGTGAGCATGCTAGCTGGTAATGTAAGAATGATAATAACAATAGATGACCTCATTGTGAGAGACCATATGATCTGTGTGTACCTGGCATGTCTTATAAGAAAGGTCTTCTGCTGTAAATGAGTTAAGCGTATGGGGGTTTGGATCCTAACACTTATTTCCATACAAGATCACACAACTGGAAAACCTGGTCCTCAGTGCAGTTTAATTTCCCTTAAATGTAATGTTTACTTACCTAAGCTTTGTGGGTCATCAAAGAAGACACATCTATATGCTTTAATAGATGTTTAATGTTATATGGCAAAGTCTCAGGCACTTCAATTCTCATTTGAGGATGAAAGTCAGTACCTTGATGAATACTAGAGGAGGACAGACAGCTTATATTACACATGAAGACAGAGAGAAAGAAACTGGACACAGACAAAAAAGGAGAATAACTAAACTCTAATGACCACCGTATGTACAATGAAATACATATATCTGCATTAAAAACTATACTTTGATAAATATATAACTTCATGGGTCGTTAAGTAGTAATAGGAAATATTCAAAATACTGTGATTCTTCTTTTTAAATAGATACAAAGGATTTGTATAAAAGTACAATTTCTCCAGTCTAGGTCATGTCTATCCATTGATGCATTCATCCACATGAGTTGTACATGTACTGTAGAGCTGGGCGCACATGTGTGAGACCGGGAAGTTGAGGCAAGCAATATATACAGGAAATATTTCCTCTAACATGTGGGTGGATTATTCTCCATCTGTCTCTCTACTCTGACAAAAAAATTAATCACAAATGAAGATGTTTTGGTGCTCTTGAATGATCAACATTGAGCTTTAGAAATAAAAAAAAAAGGTTGTCAAATTGTGAAAAATAAAAAAATCAAATGAAAGAAAAGAAGGAACAAAAATGGCATTTAGTAGTTAAATTTGTGTCCATGTTGGTTTGCTGATTATTTGAGACGTTTCAGCCTGAACGTGAAGGGACTTGAAGCACCAGCTGGTTACATTCATATTCAAAGGGCACTTTGGGCTCGTCATGGAAGCAAAGGGTGCACATAAATAAAAACACTTCCAGGAATCTCATTGGTTGGTTGGTGATTAGGGTCAAGTCCCTCCATCCAGCTGTGGGTAAGGCATCGTTCAGCGTGAACCAATAGCAGCGCAGGGTTTGTGGGGAGCGGCGGGCCTCTAATCAAACATGCCCCTCCGAGTTGGACTTGGTGACGTCTTTCTGCCGAGTCGAGGGGTCCCCTAGAATACAGACGAACACAGACGTGTGGACGGTTAATGTAAGACGTGACGTGAAATGAAAGAACAGGGTGGTTTGAATGGAGGGAGTGATGTGGACGTACCGGTGACTGGGCTTTGGAGAAGTTGACATGTGCATAAAGCAACACTGCAATGTCCTTGTGTCCTGCTTCCAGAGCGATGGACAGGGCATTGCTCTCATCCTGAAGGGAAGGGAAGAAGACGGTAAGGATCAAGAGACAAAAAGCAAAAGGAGAAAACAGCGAGAAATGCTGTCACAATGACCAAATTATTAATAACTATTAAAATTAAATGCATGAAATGTTTGGCATTTATGCATGACAATAAAAATAGTCGCTGGCTATATAGTTTAATATATAACAAAACATCATCACATTTTATAAACTCTTCATGTGTTTAATGCAAAAATGTCATTTCTAAAGAAACTAAAGCTGTCAAATAATTGTAGTGAAGTACAGTATTACAGTACAGTACTTGAGTATTCCCAACCCCCCATCATTACTCACGCTGTCACTCAGCGTGGCATCACAGCCGGGTTGAGCCAGCAGCAGTTTGACGATCTCGACGTGTCCGTGTTCGCTGGCGCACATCAGTGCAGTGGAGCCCTCGTCGTCCTGGATGTTGACGTCGGCCCCGTGACCCAGCAGGGCCCGAACCATGTCCATCCTGCCATGGCTGACCGCCAGCATCAGCCCCGTCTGACCAGCCTGAAGCGGGGACAACCGCACATGTAGCTCGTTTAGGGTCAAGACTGGGGTTAGGAAACGCTTTTAAATAATCAATGCATACAATTAAAACTTAAGTAAAATATTTCTGTTAAACACTCAACACACATCTCAGGGCAANNTAATAAATCCCACCCACAGCATTGTTAATAATAATAAAAAGACGCGTTATTGGTTGGGATCAAGATCATGTAGATCAATACTGTAACTATGTGTTCTGTATTGTTAGTTTTATATAATTAAATTACTAAAATGCCTCACTGTTTTGAGACTACATCACAAATGATGTGTCCGACGCACACTGATTGACATTCAATGAGTTTACCAGATTAAATTCTGGCAGGAAATCTTCACAGACCCAGACTTAAAATACAAATAAACTATCTACTGTAAAAATGAGCAAATAAAGGCTTCCGTTCAGTTCTACAGTGTGACACTATTCAATGTCAATTCAATTTTATTTGTATAGCGCCAATTCATAATGCACACTAAATCTGTATACGTTTCAAAAATCAAATACTTACCTCTCTTTTTACCACTTTGGTGTCAACCAAAGTACAATTTTTGTCAAAGTACATCTAAAATTAAACTGATAAAATATTTTGTCTTTAGACTTTCAACTGAGACTCCTGTGTATAATCTGGGTTTGGGTGCTTCTGATTTATTAATGAATCACAAAAAGAATAATAAAAATATCTGAAGCCATTTCAACAACCTTTTTTAATACATCACGTCAGTCAAACAATCTTAATTTCTGCCTTTTGTTAGAGCGTTAACACGCTTACTTTATAGACCACGAGAAAATCCCTCATTTCCCTGCTCACTGACAAATAAACCATGTGTGGTGCCCTGCCGCTGTCTTCTGACCTTTGACCTCCAGTCACTGACCTGGCTGGCTCGAGCATTGACGTCGCCCTTGCTGAAGAGCTCCTCAACAATACGCATGTCCTTGGGTGTCTCCACAGCGGCCAGTGCGGCCAGCATGATGGGTGTGTATCCCGCCTTGTTCTGCTGGTTCACGTTACACACATCTGAAAC